AACTCATAATTACTTTTGCTTTCTTCATAATATAATTCTATTTTCATTACATGAACTGTGTCCCTGCAGCTTATCCCTTCAGGAGATGTCAATTGCAACAAGAAATGCTTATAATACCTACCCTGCATCTGTTGTTTCTAAAAATCTAAACTGTAGGCTAGAGACAAGCAAGAATCTATCTTTGGTATTAATATTGAACAAAAAAAATCCTAAGAAGAAAAAAAATCAGCAAATTTAAAGAATAAAACTCCATGGATTTAAGAATATTCACAACAATGTACAAGCATCAGCACTATTTAATTCTATAATATGATTCTTGCCCTAAAGAGAAACCAGGAGACATTTGTTGGTAGCTAGTCTGTTTCTTTCTCTTACCAACCTCTGGCAACCACTGCTCTGTTCACTGTCTCTTCATACTCAGCGTTCCTGGATCCTACTTACATGTAATACTACAATGTCTGTCCTTAGCTGTACTCTAGCACTTCGAAAGTTCATCCAAATAGTCGGTCAATATGTACAAGGACTCCAGCGATTTTCACCTCTGTATAGCACTTAACAGTAGAAGATAGACTTTGATTCACCCACTATCAACTTATGTATTTAGCTAAAGTGTTTAGGTACCTTAATATCTAAAGTATAAAATACTTTAACACTTAAAATATTTAGGTACTTCTCTTGTTCTCTCTCCTTGCGTCCCTCCGTCCCTCCATCCCTCCCTCCCTCCCTCCTTCTCTTCTCTCTCTCTCTCTCTCTCTCTCTCTCTCTCTCTCTCTCTCTCTCTCTCTCATGCAGTGCATGTGTGCCATGGCATGAGCAATGAAGCCAGAAGATAGCCTTCCCCTTATTTGAGACAGGGTCTCTTTGTTGTTTCTCCATGGTCTGCACCCGAATAGATGGCTCAAGTTTCTAGAGATTGCACTGTCTTTACTTTCCATCTCCTCATTGAAGCACTGGAATTACAGGTGTCCACACTAGGCATCTGGCTTTTCCACGGGTGCTGGGGATTCAAACTCAGGTCCTCATGCTTGAAAAGTCAGCATTTTTACACAGTGAGCCATCTCACAGCC